GAATGTTTCATGCATCGTCAGAGAGGCTTCTTTCGGAGTGTTGTGCTCGACTTCCTAACATTAATATGTAGTATTCGGACTAAAACACTTGCACTTCGAAAAATAATAATAATAATAATTGCTTTTATTATAACAATAATAACAATATTAATTTAATTTATTTATTTTTTTAATAATAATAATTATATTACTACAATTATCACTGTACAGCCATTGTACTTCTCGAGCATTGATTAAAACAATCGACATGTGCATCTTTTTTAGATTTCTCACGATTAAATAATCATGCAATATTTTATATACGAGTATGTTTGTGGAACTAATGCCTAGGGTTCCACCTCAACCTCAATCTCACAGTATCATCACAGTCGCATGACGATCTTGCATTACACATATCAGGATTTGTACAGCATCAATGTTTCCTGGCATAAAAATTGAACAACCGATTGGACGAGCTTTACGAATTGCGTCAGTGTTCATTGTACCATCATTGTACCAGTGGCAGTGTTTCACAGTGGTTGAAAAAAGATGGAGCTTACTTCACATCGGCAAATATGGAATAAAGTTGATCTATTGTTCGATGCATTCTTGTCTGGATAATTCGCATCGAAAGTCATAATACATCATCGCACGAAAATTTTCTCACATTAATTTCACTTTTTCGCGAACACTCAATTTACAGATCACTGTAAATAACAGAAATAACGCTCTTTTGACAAAATGTTCAAGCCAGGTTATGTTTAATAATGTTAAACTTCAGATAATACTTGACAACAATCAGTGGTGCCAAGGCTCAAAATATAAATAGTGACCTTCGTATTAAATGTATTTGACAATAAAATATTGGCAATATATATATATATATATATATGTGTGTGTATTATATATACCTTCTGCTCAAAAAGTACTCGGATTTTGTAAATAAAATACAAAAAATTTAAATTTTATTCCAAATTTGTTTTATCTCCTTCAAAATATGCTCCTTCTGAAGCGATACACATATACCAACGCCTAACTTTTCGTAGGCCCGTGAAGGTATGGCTTTTAGTTCCTTCAGCGAATTCTCTCTTACCGATTCAATCGAATTAAAACGCTTACCATGAAGGGGCAATTTGAGTTTCGGGAATAGGAAAAAGTTAACAAACAACAAAATCCGGATACTTTTTGTGCAGAAGGTATCTATTTTTAAGTGTCAAATAGTTACATCTAGCAATGTTATAATTACATCTTTTTGAAATAACTTTGCTTAAATCGATTTTGTGCAAATGGAGTTAATGTCCCCATAAAAAATCTTTTCCAACATTTGTATACATACATTAAGACTGAAAAGTTTTCGGAAATTCTCATTTAAAATTCGCGCGCTGTATATTTTTCGATATTTTAAGTTTATGTAGTTTGGCAGCACTGTCCTTAATTACTATGCCAAAAATGAGCTCGATCTGTCAGACAGTTCGTTTACGGCAGCTGTTGAAACCAGTTCACCTCAGTAGTGCGTTGCGAAATGTCTTCGACGGTCGTACGACCGTCCTGGAAGGCTTTGTACCACTCATAAACTTGAGTTTTCGATAAAACTGATTCCCCATAAGCCTTTTGTAGCATTCGCAACGATTCTGCACACGAAATTTCGTTCGAAACACAAAATTTGATGCAAACTCTTTGTTCAATATTTTTTTCCATTGTTTTTTTCGCAACGCCCTACTGAGGTGAACTGGTTTCAACAGCTGCCGTAAACGAACTGTCTGACAGATCGCGCTCATTTTTGGCATAGTAATTAAGGACAGTGCTGCCAAACTACATAAACTTAAAATATCGAAAAATATACAGCGCGCGAATTTTAAATGAGAATTTCCGAAAACTTTTCGGTCTTAATGTATATCTTATACATTTAATATAGAAGAAATAAGTAAATAAATGACTTCATAATGTTATAAGTTTCTCTTATACGATTTATTACTTTCTAAGGGAATTGAATTTCAACGCTTTCATTAAAGCCATAAGTTAAATGAATAATAATAAATTAAGTTCAAGTACATGCATAAATATCAGTTATTTGTTACTATTAATGTAGTGCACTTACCGTCTTGCGAGGCGATTTCAATTCTATAGCTTTTCAATTTGAATTGAAGTTTGATATAAATTATTTTTGGTCAAAAACCGAGAAAAGACGTCAGATATCTGTGAACTAAGCATTGTTCATAAGCACGCTCGAAACCCTCTAAAATTGAAAGTTACCCTTGCGTGTTACGGACAAACACACAAGATAAATTCCATATTCGCATATTTGTTCAAATTCGTTGATAACTTAATTTATGACTTTTCCTATTTAACCTCGCCACAACCCTCGCACATCCACATCCACTTCCACCCTTCACTATTATTCCCGCTCAATAGAAAATTCTTATATGTTTACTTTCTTCTCCTTATATAAGTTTTATAATCTTTTTATATCTTTCATGACATGTCACGCTTCATTGAACAATTTTCCGCAACCGCATCAACAGAATAGCCAGCGAAAGCAAAAAAAAGATTAAAAAAACCGTACTGTAATCGCATATCCGAAGAGTAAATCAGATAGAATTATAGCCAAGATACAAGTACACACAATCCCACTCAGCATGCGGTCATTTCAGCTAATTGATATGTTCTCTGTTATACATCAATTGCTGTTAGCAATTGCTCGAATAGAACAAAATAAATAGTGGAGCACAGCAAGGGGGGAAAATAGAAAAGTGAAGAGAAGTATAAGGAAAAGCAGCAATAGAAGTTCAACATTAAGGAAATTTTTATTATAAACTGAAGTAGTCGTCGATTTCGTAGGGGTGTTTAGGGTGGTAGAGCAAGCTGATGTATAAGGTTCGTATGCTTGCCGGCTTGCCGGCTTGTCCGTTGGCTTTATGGTGAAACTACATTGTCATTACAAGTTGGGGTTGCAGGAGAGTCTCGTATATGTGCTTTATTTGTCAATCATTAATTTATGGCTTTAATATGTAATTTTGTAATAAGACAACTATATTGTAACTTGATAAAATGGAACGACTGTTTTTGTTTACAACTATAGTTTTGTTATCTTTTAAGTTGGTTTATGGGTAGTTACACACATCCTCTCAGTTCACAACTTCATTTCATTTATTAAAAACAAATTCCAGTAAAGTTTTCAATGCACATTTAAATATTTCATCTTATATTAGTATACTAGAATTTTTTAAAATAGATTAATACGGTAAGGATAAGTCAAGGGTTGCCATTTTTATTAACAATCAAACGGCAATTGTTGCTTTTTAATGTTTCATCATGAAATTAATTAAAGTGAAAGAAAGTAGAGTGAAAATCGATAAGTTAGCACCACCGTTATCGATGACAAAGACGGGTGGTATATGCTAACATATTCCATAAGATAACGACGCCATAATTAATACTAAACTAGTGGTTTTAGAAAGAAAAATATACGCAAAATATCTGTCTGTGAAGTATAGAAAGACATTTCTAATAGAGCCTACAGACAAATGTGGGTACCACTAACTATCATATCCGTGAGCACTACTTCTGATACCTATGAAAGAATTTCTTTGACTTAAATTAACACAATTATTTTTGATATTGCTGATGGGGAATCTGAATCAGTATTTGGGTGAAATGTTGAATATAAAAGTGGAGAATTTATTTTAATGTTTTTTTAGCTGAATACTCAATCACTCAATTTTATTTTTAAGATTTTGGGTGGAGAAATGATGCTTTATTTTCGGACTCAATGGTATAGTTTAGCAAAACTTTATAGGATGTTAACTAATACCTTTTATAACTACAGCTTTAAAACTTCAACTGGTACTAAATTTGGGTGGTACTTGTATGACGAAAATAAGTAATATTCCTACACTGTTGATCTCAAAGGTTAGGAATTCACCTCTCTCGACATAATTGTGTGAGGGCATTACAATGGGCAATATATGCCTCCGAGTGGAAGCGCGTTCTGAACCTAACCTAACCTGCATTGTTACTCTGTAATGATGATAATCTTTTCAGAAGAAACTTATACTCAAGGAGACTTACTGGGTTATTGAGAATAAATATTAAAGAAGGTGTACAGGTATTTGCAGTGATGAACTTAAAACTATTGCTAACGTCTCAAGTTCTTCAAAAGGTAATTAATAAATGGAAGATGAAGTTAAACAGCGTTACAAGAGTTCCTGGCCATTGTGGTGTAGTAAATAATGATTTCATTGTTAATTTACACTATAAACGCTCTGTAAGGACACCTTTAAGCACCGCACCAATTCTCAAAATAAGTATTGCACATTTTATTTACTCGATGATATAGAGCCCTAAACTCTATCGCAAAGAAAAGTAGTGCATAAAGGATACTTGTACAAAATGATAATCATTGGAAAGGTATCTGACTAAAAAGTGAAGAAATTTTTAATTCAGTTAGAGAGAAAGGCCCTAAAAGTATTGATCAGCATCTTAAATGCTATTATAGGTATCAACACAAATCTAACATCTCAATCATGACTCTAGGATTGTTGACGATACATAACACTTTGTTAATTTTAGTTCAATATTTTCAAGAACTAGATTGAGGTATTTGTGTTATGATATATTGCAGATAAATAATGTTTATGCTTCTCTAAGCCTGATAAAACTGTTGGTCTATTGGTGTTTGCTTAAACATTAGTTGTCTAATATCAATATATTTAACATATTTCTGATCCATCATCGGTGTCTGCTTAAGACGACATCATCTGTTTGTATTTATGTATATGTAATTCTAATATAGATAAAACTGCTGGTCCTCAGTGTCTGTCTATGTGGGTCCATCTTTCAAGGATTTAAGTATGGGTATTACATATACTTAATTCATATATATCATATAAAATATGATAAAATACACATATATAAATATATATAAAAAAAGGATTAACATATGAAATGCCAAGTGGGTCCGTTATTCTCACACTTATCATAAGTATATGTAATACTGAGATATGTAAATATAAAACATTTCATTAATCATTGAATGTAGTATCCATCATGTTTATAGCTATTTTGTATAAATTTTTTTCATTAATTTTAACTCATTAACTTGTCCACAAAATTGAAATTTATTTCATCTAAAGCGAGAACCAGATATTGCTATAAGTTAAACTTATTGATGTTTACTCTAATAAAAAGGATTTAATACCCATATTTATCATACTTTGCTGGTTAAAGCAATAAAAAAATAGCTATTATTCATGGAAATTTTCTATAAATCCTCAAAATGTTAACATATTCACTATAAAAAAATGCATATTCTGCTATATGCAAAATATATGAAGTTTATATAAATATATCTATATGCGGATGTATGTCTGAGCAACGGGAAAAATTAAAACTTGCATATTAATATTTCTATGTTAGCAAATATTGGCTTTTTTCTTTGGCATGCATGGATCCGAAACTTACTCAAAAATTTCTCTTCCAAATATTTTTTAGGTTTTTTTTAAGTTTCTAAGTTGCTTCTGAACATATTTCTTTTAAGCTTTGCGTTGGAAAAAACTTTTATTAAACTCTTCTTCGCTGCTTTTAAATCACTTTTTGCAATAAACTTAAAATATGTATATTTTTTAATATTTATTTTAATAAAATTATTTTAAGTTCAAGTTCTTGCAAAGCATCTCTGCGGAACTTTTCTTTACCTAATAATGGGTGAAAGTAAGTAAGACGAACGAGTAGGAATGTCTGATAGATACATTGTATCTGGTATGCTTGCGGTAAGCTACTTATGCATATTTCGTTGAAAGTAAGCAGTCGAGTAGATGTGAACGAGTATATGCACGGTAAAGTGCTTTTGCCAAAGAATTCACAAAAAAATTTTGTTTTTTTCTTAAATATTTTGTTCCATATATTGCTTTGTGTGCAACTAAAACAAAGCTTGTCCTATCAGACTATATACTACATCGCTACATCACCGTAAATATAGTTAAAAAAAATCCAATATATTTTTACTTGTCTTATATATCTCATGTGCATATGTGTGTGTTTTTATTGTTAATAGTAGAAAATTTAATTCTGATTTTAGCTATAAGTCATGGAAGCATACGTATGTCGGCAGGAGCACTTTGTACAACAAGTTGCAACATGTAAAGTGCAGATATTTGCATAGAAATCTATATGAATTTCATTCAAAAACTGTAATCTGAACTAGAAAACAATGCAAGGAACATATCAAAAGAATTAAGTGCAATCAAAACTTATGTACGATATGCAATCATTCCGTTCAATAGTATCAATCTATTGATTATTAGATAGGAATCAAATAAAAATTAATTTTAACAAATTTATTCTTAAAATATTATTTTTTACTAACAACTTTAAACAACCAAACTTTTAATTTTTTCAACAATGAATGTCAATTAAATTGTAAATCATTTCTTGCAAGTTTGTTGGATAATTCTCCTCCGCTTTTTGTAAAAATTTGTCGTACACAAACTCACCCAACTCACGGCCCATCAATTCTTCCAATTTGCTTAACTTGCTGAACATACCCGCTAATTTACGCTGACCACGTAACTGACCACGTCCGTCCAGGTACAAACCAGTCAAGAAATCAACGAAGTGACGAAAATTGCAGGGTGCTATTCCACCGCAACACTCACAAGTTTGACATTTACATGCTGAAATGAGATTGCGAATTGCTTTTGCTATTTTCGCTTCCAAAGACACTGCGATCTGCATAGCGTCGGCTACATTATTCCACTTCCGAATTGCAATGCTAGGAGCTTTAACCACACCAGAAATGTTATTACGTTGACCGCTAAACGAGAGGTGATCCATTAGTTTAGCACCATGTTCGCATTCAAGTCTAGCCGCTTTGAAGAAAAAGCATCCAACACCTGGTCGGTCACCGTCATCTCCAGCAAAATGATTTGCTATATCCAAGTAGGTACAGCAAGCATCAAATTCCATCTGAATTTGCTTGACGGCCAAACCATTGCAAGCATACACGCACACACGATCAATCCAAGCATTAAATACTTCACAGCTTGGATTGGTTGGGTTGAAATGGCACCCTAACTTTTCATGAAAACCTTTTTCGGCTGCACACAAACCTACTAAAAGTAGGACTAATGCAAAATTTAGAATGTACATTGCGTCAATTTTTTTTTTTTTCTACTTGTCAAATTTTAAAACACAGTTTTCGATATTATTTAATTATGTAGATATGAATATGTATATTTACATATATTTAGATCAAAATCAATGTATGCTAAGTTTAAAAATATTAGTGTTGAGTAATTTAAAAATAACAAAAGAATAAGGTGTTATAACAGAAAACTAATTAAAGAGATTAAAACCATTTGTTCTTTATTAAGTATGTGAATTATATGTATTTGCCTGTGTCCTTCCTCTTTTTCTTCTAGGTGCCTTATCCTCTTCGAACGTTGGCTAACATGATTGCGATTTTGACTTTCTCTCCAGCCTTTTGAAAAAGTGATCTTGTACTTTTATTGAACCATTGACGTAAATTCTTCAGTCATGATATCTTTCGTCTCCCAGGTGGTCCTGCCTTCAATGATTAATTTCAATAGTCCGCATTTTTCCGGATGCCTCAGAAAATGACCAAGAAACTTCAACTTTCGTCTTTCTACTGTCTATAATATTTCTGTCTCTTTGTTGACACGCCCAAGTACCACTGCATTTGTGATTTTTTCTGTCCGGTTCATTTTCAGCATAATTCGATAGCACCACTTTTCAAAAGCCTCGAGTTTATTCATCGATGCAACACACAGCGTCCAGGCCCCTGTCCCGTAGAGAAGTATAGAAAATATATAACATCGCAGCATTCTTATTCTGAGCGGTAGTGACAGCTGCCGGGAACACAGTAAGTTTCTCATCTTGATAAAAGAAGACCTTGCTTTTTCAATTCGTACACGTATTTCTTTACTATTATCCCATTGCTATTTAAGCTGCCATCTTAATTAGTTATACTAGCGCTATAAAATCAGCTCAAATGTCTTATATATAATATCGTAAAATCATTATTAAAAACTTTAGTTTCTTTATTATAATATAGATGTGTAAAATGTTTTCATTTTTCATTACTTATAGACTTATAAATATAGTTAAATACACAATGATGCTGCTCTCAATTGATATATAATAGCTAAATCCGTTTCAATGGAAGTTTCTGTCAGAAATAGCTTTTAGGCAGAAATACATATCATTATAATTTGTGCTATATAAATATAGTGATTACGGGATTATTGACTGGTCACAGTAGACTGAATGATCACCTAAAAGAGTAAGGAATCCCATCCAACTCAAACTGCAGATACTCTAGAGAGGATAGAAAAATTGCATACCATATGTTTGGGGAGTGCCAGGCACTGATACACAAGCCGAAGCAACCTGGCAGGGTATTTCATGAATCATGAGGATTCAAGACTGGAAAAAATAGGCCCTATACTGTCTTTTATTAAAGAAATCGGACTTGGAGAAACAACCTTTCACAATAATAACAATTATAATGGTTATATTTGACCACTATAGCATTGAAACTATGAAGTCTCTATTCTATCTAGGATAGGTAAATCTATTTGGTCAGAATTTTATATCTAAGTTTATTAATGTAAATAAAGTAAAACTAATTTGGATATTTGGTTTTAAAAAAAATTCCACTGCAAGAAAGCAGCTGAAAACTCTCATCACACAACTAGATACTAATCGGGCTAAATTAGTAATTTAAAATATGCAAAATGTAAACTATTTTAGAAAACCTAAGTCCAAATAACTCATTCAAGTCAATAACCAAAATGACAGATTTTTTTAATTTAAATAGTGCCGGTCCCCGATCTCTTATCTGCTATTATACAAAGTTAGAATTAAAGAAGACTAGAACCTGTAAATTCTGTAAAATACAGATGGAAATGACTTTCATTAAGTTGATTGTAGTCTGACATTAACAACGAAAACTAAGAGTACAATGATGTTAATGTCGTCGACGTAAGCAAGGAGCTAGACATATTTATAAATATTATGGATTGTATGGAATATAAATTATTTGTCTTTTGATAGGGTTCTGTTAGTTTGGCTTGTGAAGTGTTGGTTCTGAAAAGCGTTTTGCATTGATCGGTTTATAAGTATGAATCTGATGGAGCACAATCTGGTTATTCACCAGATTCTCTATGCTCTCTATACCAGGGACCATGGAGAGCATAGAGTAGAATTTATAATTTAAGTGCTTTCAAAGTACTTTTTAATTGTCTTGTGACTTGTAGCCGAAAATTATCGTGCAGTGAAATTTTGAAAATTTTGAAACTTTTCGTGCATTTTGTTGGTTGAAATCGGTAGATTTTTAAGGAGTACATAGTTCAAATCTATCAATTGTTGTTGATGACGTTCAGTTGTAACATAAAAACATAGATTCAATAATCGATATTATCGAATCTAATTGACTTAATTCAAAACTAGTAAAATCTAATTGAGTTTTCTAATCGAATCTAATCGAATTTTCAGTTCTAATCACATTTATATCATTTTAATATCTTCTTATGATTACAATGGTTCGAACAAATAAAGAAGGCAATTTTACTATATATAATTGAAAGTCTTCGAAACTTACCTTAACTTAAGATCGTAAATAAGATTAAGAATATAATCTTTATCATTATACCTCATAAGATTTACTTCATAAAGTATTATTAAGCCAACTTTGCTATATGTAATATAACAAAGTATAATCTGAGTTTTAGAAAGCCCATAAATATGTCGACATTAATTATTTTAATTGTTTCGAATCAAACAAAGCCTTGTTTAATAATATAATCACATGATATATTACAAAAGGAATAGTAATATTCATAATTCTAATAGTATAAGTGTAATGGATTTAAATGGATAGTTGCTGCATTTTGCTACTAAATATTGTATAATAAAACTCAAAAAAATAAAATCAAAATCAATCATTGATTCTCTAAGACTATTGCTACCGCCAACAATTATCTAATCCTATATGTTAATTACTGTTCTAGGATAGCTTATGGTAATTATGCTCAAATTTGACAAAAGAGAATAATGGAGTAGTGAAATTTCATCCAAGTTTACGTATAACTAATAATCGTCTAGTTTTTATGGTACATATAACGAAAACAAAATATTCCTTAAATATGTGAACAACTGATCTAATAAAACATTTGCAATCCATTGCATTTCCATATCCAAAATTTAATAACAAAAGTTATGGACCATCGAAAATATCTCATTATTCGAACTGCCGCGGCAGCGAAACAACCAAAATATCTGAATGAGTTATGCATGCACTAAAGTTATTTTGTGAATAAATTTATCTCAAAGTCGCATAAATTGACCATTTCAGCAAAATGAAGCAGAAGTCGTTACTAAGCGATAAAAATAATTTTCAAAATTTATTTTTATATTTTATAACAAGTTTTTATTAAAATTTTTTATTTCTCTCAGCTTCTGCGGCGCTCATTGCAGTTTCACATCCAAATGACAAAATTAAATTCAAAATAAAAGTTAAAACCGGGCAATATTGTCACACAGCATGACATTTTATATGAAAAAACATATTTTATATAAATTTTCTTTTTAATTTTTTTCCCTCCGGATTGTTGGTGCTTCACCCTGCAGACGTGCTAGAAAGTATGAATATATAAACGCAATAAAAGCAAAGCAAGGATATTTACAACATTTCATGCGATTCAACACAGTTTGAACAGATTCAGATTTCTACTTATTTTTTATTTCGCTGGCAAAAATAATAAAAATATGCCACAAATATCAGATTTACAACTTACTTGACGGCATTATTCCGTAATAAAATTACCTGAACTCAACTGATGTGCTACAGTTTAATTGGGGAAACAGATACGAGTAACACCAGCATCAGCGGAGAGGTCCGTATTAAAGTAACACTCTAATACATAAATACTTCAGTGCATTTAAGATTCAACGAACTAACACCTTATTTATACTAGAGTTAGATATCTGCAGAAATATATACCACAAATACATTTGAAATACCTAGAACTTAATTGGTCCTAATTATAGGTTAGGTTAGGTTCGGAAGACGCGTGCTACCAATTGGCAGCACTTCCACTCGGAGGCATATTTTGCCCATTGTGATACCCTCAAAAAAAAAATATTGCCGGGAGAGGCGAGTTGCTAACCTTTATGATCCTTGTTAAACCATTTGGTTTTCCACATGAAGTTGAGGAGATCCGATAAGTTTACTTTCGTTATCTCGTCCAAGCCAGTGAAAAAGCGATCTCCGAGACATTGAAGTCGTCTTGTTTGAAGTCCTGGACAGAGACAAAGAAAGTGGTTGATAGATTCTACCTCATCTTCATCTTGGCAACTCCTGCATAAACCGCTTGTTGGAACTCGCCACCGTTGGAGCATGAGTGCAATGGCACAGTGCCCCGTTAGTACTCCAGGACCTAATTATAAGTCTTAAAACAAATATTAAATACTAAAAGATTTGTTAAAGTTACTTATACTAATATAGTAACAGCCATTGAAAATATAATGGCTGCTATCAGATAGTAATAATACTGAAAATTCTATTAAAATCTATACTAACAATAAAAGAAGTACCTTTCTCTACTTTTTGCAACTTGCCAACAACAAATGAAAAGCACTTAGGTCATGTGCGACTTCCAGCAGGAAAAAGAAACAATAATACATTTTCTCTGATATAGATTCTTAGGAAAATTCTTCTTTGAAAGTCTATCAGACTGCTCAGCGGTGAAGATAAAAGACCTATTAAATTACCTAAATTCGGCGGGATGGATTTAGTCTCTACTCTTATACACTAGGGTTCTTGCGAGGAATGTGATAACAAAACGGCGAAAAATCGCTAATTGAGATATATGAAAGTTATCTAATAACCTGCCACTACAACCAACCAACCATAATAACAATATATTTAATGGCATCTTCAAACTAACCATCATTAACTTTTTCATTTAAATAATTTACTATTTATAACAACCCTAAATATCTAAAGCTTATATAGGAACAGCCAAATAAGTTTTCTCTAATCATTCTAGCCTTTGATCATACATCTGAGTCTTGTGATCACAAAGCAACTGCAATTTTGAATTTTTTTTAAAAGTGTATAAAAGTCA